AGAGAGAGAGAGAGAGAGAGAGAGAGAGAGAGAGAGAGAGAGAGAGAGAGAGAGAGAGAGAGAGAGAGAGAGAGTTGGCGACTATTCCATGGAGATCGCTCCCAGGTTCGGACTCAACACTGTTGTTTGAGGGAATTGGGAGTTGCGAGAGACTATAGTCACATCAGCTGTTGTATCCGAGCTATCTCCCCATGTGTGTACGTCCATGTGTGCTACCCTCCTTGCCTTTTCGAGTGATGATGACGAGTATATTTTTGGTGCCATGCCCATCTGCCGATAGGCATGGAACATTAATGCACCAGTGTCCCCCCACAACAGCCAGTTAACACACAGCCCGCCTGCCCGGGTCCAATACATCAACTATGGGAAAACTGTCAGGGCACCAGAGCAGGGTCCCACCCACAGGTGGTTTAAATATGCCCTGATCCAGAACAAAGGTTATCCAGCTTGTCATTTTTGGACAGAGCAGTTGTGGTCCGGTCCACACCTTGAAAGTCAACGTTTCACATGCATAGGGAAGTCACCTCTTTTCTCTTCGAAGCCGCTGAGATCGAGGGAAGTTGTGTGGATGAGCTCACAACTGGACGATTGTGGGGTGTGTTGTCATGACTGGCTTCAGCCACTTTGTCCCTGGACTCTTTCTCTGCTACTGGACCAGCCGCCATCCCACGGTGAGCTGCATGTCCACCTGCAATGTTGACGCCACTTGCAGCTCCAGCGCCGCCACCTGCACCGGCGGCCTTCCCTCCTACCTCTTTCAGGGTCTTTCGTTGAACAGCTTGGACCTCTTGCGCAGGGGGGAACCTGGAAACACATGTCAGCCAGACAAAAAAGGTAAAAGAACATTATAAGTGGTCAGCATATTCAACTTCTGAGGGTCACCATTTTGCAAGTTAAAATGCTGAGCCTCCTTCCAATTTGCGAGATACGAGTCTTATATTTAACTGGAAAAGTAGTACATCCATTAGCGGAGAATCCCTGGTGCAAGTCTGAGTCTGCACTGAGTTTCACACATTCAGGTACTCAATTCAATCTGCAGCACAACCCTAAGCCCGGGGAGAGAGAGAGAGAGAGAGAGAGAGAGAGAGAGAGAGAGAGAGAGAGAGAGAGAGAGAGAGAGAGAGAGAGAGAGAGAGAGAGAGAGA